GTCAGTAAGCCGAAAAAACTTCAGGACATATACTTCAAAGTGTTCTCTACAAACTGGGAACGTTAAAGGAAAATCTAAATGGGAAATCATGCAACTACGAAATGGTGTTAAGGTGAAAGTCGCTGTCGAGATATGGTGGCGCCAGTATCTAATGCAAGTTTTAGGGTTTCCAGCAAGACTCTCATACCTCTTGAGCAGAACATCACTCAGAGCTGGTATATCTCATTTTGATCAGAAATGTTTGCTCTATTTCCTGGTGTTACTAAACGTAGTTTATGATCTGCTTTATAATCGGAAAGTAAAATTTTTTCCAAAAGTCGGCTTTTCAAGATTTTCAGAAAACTTTTCTAAAAGCCTCCATAACTCTTCGATGAGGGCCAAATAACATAGGATTCTGATAGTAAATATTGTGGGCTATCTGATGATGTGCGTAGCTCAGTATCGACTTTTTATAAAAGAATTTATGTTTCTGACGGGAAGGGGCGGGACGGGACTTAATAATGCATTACGTAAACGTACTTTTTTAGCAACAATGTTTAATGGATAACGTATGTTGAATACAACTCTTTCGGTAAATTCTTTGGTCTCTGTTAACCAAATCATTTTTTGAGAAAATGATGCGAGGACACCTAAACTCAAAAGAGTGCCAGTTTAGAATATTTCGTCAACATAAATGAACAAGACGATGATTACATCCATGAAATGAAATTAAAGTAAAATTTATCTAGTTTTCTTTAGAAGACTTTTGGCTAAGAAGCTTTCATAATAATTGTTTAAAACTTGTATACATCCATTGCCAGAGGTATCAGTTATTGTGTTAAGAATTCATGAAGAAGGAACGTTGAGATGCCCGGAATCTGCAGAATCATTTCACAAGTGCTATAGTCTTTAGAATCGTGCAAAACTTATTTATCAATAGTATTGGATACGCAGCATAAACCAGAAACGGTGTTAAGACATGTTTTGGTCGGTTTATTATTTTTGGTGCCCCGTGGTAGTGCCCTACGAACTCGAAGGGTTTTTATCAAGGGGGTTTTATATGCAAATCTCAAATCAAACTGCATACGAAAAATTTAAAAGTTTTTCAGACGATACCATTGAAAAGCGCATGACCTTGAACTTATTAAATTTGGTTATACTATCTAGGAACTTTCTCATATGACATATAAAAACACAGACAGGAATCAAACTGTCATTCAAGATCATCAGAACATGCCGCCAAACAATTCTTTTACCTTCATTAACAGTTTTACAACCCCTTATCAGATAGTTACTAGCGACTAATTTCTGAAAGAATCAAAAGAAGGTACCACGACCGATTTCGAGCTTTCTCAAAGATCTCATCAGTTGGTTACCTTCGAGAAAGACAGAATTAGGGCACGACATACAACACAACTTAGTCCACGCCGTGTGAGAGTGTTACTATTCCTTGTTTTGATCAAACAGAGAATGATAGAATGATAACTTTCACACGATGAAAACAGCGCACAATATCACTGGCCACTGCACATATTCTTCTTCTCTCCACTAAGTATTTCTTTCTTTCCATTCTATTAGACATCATTCATTCTTTTGAGTATGTGCAGTAGGGGTTCCGGAACGATGCGCACAAACAATGTTGCGCACGGATTCATGCGCACGAGGAAACTTGCGCACGGAATCATGCGCACGGGTACCTTACGCACGAGGAATGTTCCGCACAGGAATCTTACGTACCAGGTTGTTACGCACGGACACTTGGGCACGTAATACAGAATGAGATAGAAAATCAAACTGATGATGTTCTGTCATCACAGCTATTTTTTAGCTTTCAGTTTTTAAAGAACATAATTAATTATTGTTAATAAACTAAACTAAACGATGATGTTTCGTAAACAATATAGTACTATAAAAGATAGTTCTGTGCAATATAGTGCTGCACTACTATACACTTTCGACATTTTCTGTACTATGACTTCTCAACGTGAAATGACTATAACTACGAAAGCTCGACTACTCATGATTGACGACGGGTATTCATATGTAAAAGATCGTCAAACGGATTTAAAAACGTACTGGCGCTGTGAGAACCATAAACACTTTAGTTGTCATTATCATTTACATACATGTAATGTAACAAATGATATATTAGAACGAAAAGGTACACATGTTTCCAATTGTAATCGTGATACGACGAAATTATTATTACGAAAATTCAACATTTAGATCAACGTTTATTAAATTTAGTGTTAAATCCACATACAGATATAATTGATCAAATCAATAATCTAGCTCATAATATTTCCCTTAAATAAAATAAAAATAAAATTTCGAAAGTGTATAGTAGTGTAATATTGCAGTTTATTAACAATAATTAGTTATGTTCTTTAAAAACTGAAAGCTAAAAAATAGCTGTGATGACAGAACATCATCAGTTTGATTTTCTATCTCATTCTGTATTACGTGCGCAAGTATCCGTGCGTAACAACCTGGTGCGTAAGATTCCTGTGCGGAACATTCCTCGTGCGTAAGGTACCCGTGCGCATGATTCCGTGCGCAAGTTTCCGCGTGCGCATGAATCCGTACGCAACATTGTTTGTGCGCATCGTTCCTAAATCCGTGCAGTAGTCAGTGATATTGCGCTGCATTCTCATCGTATGAAAGTTATCATTCTATCATTCTCTGTTCGATCAGAACAAGGAATAGTAACACTCTCATACGGGGTGGACTGAGTTGTGTTGCGATGTCGTACCCTAATTCTGTCTTTCTTGAAGGTAACCAACTGGCGAGATCTTTGAGAAAGCTCGAAATCGGTCGTGGCATCTTCTTTGAATTCTTTCAGAAATCAGCCACTAGTAACTATCTGATAAGGGGTTGTCAAACTAAATGTAAAACTAAACTAAATTAAAATTTTGGTTCTTGTTTTTTGTTGTCTTTTTGATGAAACATTAAAACCATTTATGTGTCGAGCAATCTCTCTATTTTTCGGCTATCCATTTCATAAAAACAAAGTACATTTGCTTAGCTATTTGTCTCAAGTTAATCTTGACGGACGTAGACAGACAAAAGTGTCTGTAATGAGAGTAACGATTTTGAATAACGAAGTACTATGTGTATTTTTACCTGCTGTTTAAACAATAATATCATTAAGCTAATGTGGGAAATTAAACTAAGAAAATCAGTCAGCGGTTTGTGCCTAGAAAAAATATCGTTTTACACTGTTAACGAAGGCTGACCGAAATAGATGTTTGTTTTGCTGAAAAAAGTATCGAAAAACATTGTCAGGTACGGCTGAAGGCAGCATCTGATAAACTTTGAGAATGTCGATCTTTAATCGTTTCACAGCACTTTTGTCATCAGATAATGCTGAACTTTCGTCACATGACGAAAGTTCTTTTCAGGGACAAAAGTTCTTTCGGCATGTGACGAAAGTGTAGCTATGTTTACATAGTGATTACGAAAGTTAATCTCTTTTATGACGAAAGTTCTGTTGGTTGTGACGAAAGTGTCTGGTTTTTTAGACAGGTGGTACGCACTTTCGTCACACGATGCATGAAACGGCTGCGATGCAATCAAGGTTGCAGTGCAAAGTTCATTAGTCCAAACGGAAGTAATAACTTTCTTGCGTTTTCCTTTACAAACATTGCATTTTCTTAGTGAAACGCGTGAAAAACCTTTTCAAGGCTTTTTCTAAAGTCAGAGTACCGAAATCAAGCGTCCATCGCGTTTCGGAGTAATTCAGTCTGGAGTAGTCCAAATGCAAGCAGTTCTTTTATAGTCAAGAATCATAGTGTATAAACATGAGAAAAACGGCAAAATAAAGCGTTGTTGTGCACATGAACTTTCGTCACACTTTATAACGCGTTATTGCCGTTATGTTATTAGTGTGACGAAAGTTCGCGATGGGTGTGATGATAGTTGTGGTTATATTACACAGTTGGTTATGAAAATTCACCACTTTTGTGACCAAAGTGTGGAGTTATAGATGTCATACACCTACGTCACATATGAAGAAGAAAATTTTTCAAGTATTACACGTGGGACAGAAAAAAGGCACGAAGATTTCTTTTCCGCGCATGACAAGGAAAAAAGAGTGAAACAGGACAAAGAGAAGTTACAAAGGTTTGTTTATGATGACGAAAAGTACAATAAAAGAAGACGTTGCTAAGGCGATTGTACTTTACTCATGAAAATATTTTAAATCTTTTTCTCAATTTGACGATTATTGACATTTGTGTAAATGATGCAAGCAGAAGGCTATATCAACAGTCATGTACGTAATCCATACACAAGTTTTTTAACGCACAAAAGTGTATTCAAAAAATAATAAAATATTTGAATTGATGCTTGTAATCAACAGTTTTTCACCAATAAAAGAAAATAGAATACCTCTTTGTTTACACGTAACTAACAAAAGTGAGCTCTACACTTCGGTTATATCAGGTTGTGATCCATGACGAACTGGGCAAGTGTTTCAATTTAGTTTAATGGACAATAACTGGAGTGAACTTGTCGTTAATTATGGCAACACAAAGAGATTACAATCACGCACATGTAGCACGTTTAACAAACAATCATATGAGAGCACAACTGTCCAACTATGCGGTTGTAATCGTCTTGTACGCGATCATAGTTTTGATAGCGAAGTAAACAAATATACGAGAAAAAGAGAGGAAGATTCGGTGGTTTCGAAGTGGAATGAATTCAAGCACACGACTGCGGTACCATTATCTGTATATGGCACTTTACCAAACAAATCTAAGGTAAAACGTTCATTTTTTATGCATTTTATAGCTGAATTCAGTTGGATAAATTTGATAAGATCGCAATTTTACATGTATTTTTACGATTAATTCAAATGTGAAATTGTTTAGTATCTGCGTTGTGATAACCGCACAAATCTGGATACTTTGTACGAATTAATCTTGAAAGATTGTGGGTCAAAGCATCCAAGTTTGATAATGAGTGTTTACGGTGGGGCAAAATATTTTCAACTAAGCGAACGTTTAGAAAAGAAATTCATGGAGGGCATTGTACAGGTGGCAACAATTGCAGGTAAAAAGAAATCTTTAGAGATATGAAACGATCTCCGTACTCTTCATACAAACTTTAGATGCGTGGATTTTAACAACGGGCTTAAACAGTGGCGTAGCCAAAAGGGTAGGTGAAGGCATTTCACAATATCGGCTACTGGCAAAACATCCAAAAAATGTGATTGCCATTGGATTAGCACAATGGGGAACTCTGACCGATGATACCAGAGCCCTATTGAAGAAGACACAGGTAATAAGCTAATTTTAACTCATTTTAAATTTCAAGCTTAATCTGTTTAGATCACCAGCGAAAATCAATTGGGCAGTGGTGCTGAACTATTGAGCCTGCAAGCTAACGAAACACTTGAATGGAATCACACCCACTTTTTATTATTCGACAATGGCCAACTGAAAGGTTATTTGAGCGATAGTCAGCGAAGCAGATTTGTGGACGCTGCCGTCAAACATCAAAGTCAGTTTAAAAAGACTCAGTGTCCAGTGTCTTACAGTTAACATTTAGGTTGTCCGGTCACAATAATCGTAGAGGGTGGAAAGAATACGATAGGAGTAATAAAAAACGATTTAGAAAAGCAACGTCCGGTAGTTATCATCCAGGTACCGACGTATGTTTTCAATATTAACAGAACAAATAATGATACATTTTGTACTATAGGGGAGTGGCCGTATGGCTGACGTCTTGGCAAAAATAATTGACGCAACGTCGACTATTGATGGAGCTAGTAAACGGTAGGTAAAATTCTTGTTAGACTCTTGGAAATGACAGCTTTTTATGAATTGTAGCAATGTGACACGGACTGAAATTGAGGATAATCTCCGTCTCATCTTTCCGGTGGGTGATAAAAGTGTTTATACTGAATTTAACCCAGAACAATTCAGAACATGCGTGTCCGAAATAAATGAAATCATGCATCCACATAAACGAAGACTGCTACACGTGTTTCGGTTAGATAGAGATAAGAATGTTGCGAATACAATTTTCAAAGCAATATTTTCTGGTAAGGGCAACACAAACTGAGTTGGAATGTAATGAGCTTTCGCTTTTAGCTTACCAAGCCGGTAGTGGTAGTAGCACGGATAATGTTACGTCTCAATCGAATACCAATTTCACGCCGCTTCTGCGGTTAGCAGTAAAATGGGACTGTCTCGACGGGGCAAAAGAATTATTAGAACAAAAGCGACAGCTAGATAGAGTAAACACAGCAAGAGACTTGTCATCGACAGAAGTTACTATGGATGATGTAAGTCTATATAGAAGAATGAAGCCAAAGACGAACTTTGCTTTGAAGCACTTTTCTCCACAGGAGGAAAATTCCAAATTATTCAGATTGGCACTAGAAGAAAAAAAGCCCGAATTTGTCGATTATTTTCTTCGGACTAGCGTTGATCCACGTACATCTTGTAAAAAAGAAGGCATTTTAGAATGGTATCAGTATTCATTCAACCGGAATGATGAGGTGCGTTACTTAGTTTTAAAAAAACATATCATTTTATTACGTTTTTGACTTTTCTAGACAGATTACATGAGCCTCGAAATGACTTTGCATAGTGAAAAAGCACCATCTTCGTTCAAAACATTAGATAATGTTTACTCTGAGTGGATCGGTCCGTTTATGCATGAAATCTACACTATAGAGAATTTAGGTCAGAATAGTTTACAACGATTTGGTATGGACACACTCAATTCTTGTTCGAAATTTTGGATGAAGTTCTGCAGTTGTTGTCCATGTATGACACGAGCGGATAGCCACTATACTGAACTGGGCGAAGAAATGAACGAGTTAGGATCAAGTCAAAATCAAGGTCACAGAATTAATCAAAATAACGAATGGGCTCGTGTAGGTAAGGACTACAAGGAAGAACAGATACTTCGAGATTTATTCCTCTGGGCTCTATTCACAACTGAAATCGATTTAGCCAAAGTATTCTTATTGCATTTGAAACCGAGAATATGTGCAGCTTTAATTGCAACTAGAGTCTACAAACATTTTTCAAAAGAAGCAACCAATGCATTCTCAAAACAAAAACTGATGGAGCAAGCCATGGAATTTGAAAAATATGCAACTGATTGTGTAGAGACGTGCTATGCGTATAATGAAAAATTAACGTGTGAGTTACTTATTAGAGAAGTGCCTCTATTTGGATATGTGACGTGTATGCAGGTATGTTCATGATTATCTCCACTAATAAATCTTAGATGTGGGACAGCCGTTTTTCGTAGGTGGCTGTAGCAGGAGAATGTGCCAAATTCTTTGTTACGCCATGTGTTGATGAATTATTAAACCAAATTTGGTACGATAAAATAGCAATGACAAATGCAAACGTGGCTGCTAAGCCTCTCATTTTGGTCAATCTGTTCACCTTCGGCTTCCTTGCCCCGTGGTGGATCCCATACCGAAAGACGGAAACACAAGAACGGGATATGTTCGTTCAACAAATATAAATTATAAGTATAAACGACCGCTCTTTTACCGTTAACACTATCGTGTTTTTTTAGCATGTGGATATGTCAAACAGGAATCAAAAGAATGATACACCGAATTACGATAAACAAAAGTAAATTGTTAGATTGTCGCTAGATTAAATCATTTCTTTGTGTCTACAGCTTTTCATCTCGCGGAATCAACTACTACACAGATAATAACGCATCAAAATATTTTAATCGACTCTGGTATTTCCATACCTGTCCAATGATTAAAATGTGCTACGATGCTGTAAGTAATCATAGTTTTAGATGAATGTTATGATCCATTTCTGCATCCTTCTTTTAGGTTGCCTATATATTTTTATTGCTCGTCTTTAGTTATATGATGTTGTATAAATTTGATGCACCTGGCACTACAGATGGTCACTTACATTGGACAGAAATATATGTTATTATCACAGTATCAGCGCTATTACTTGAAGAGCTACGAGAGGTGAATAGTTAGATTTTTTTTGTAGAAAAACTGCTATATAGTTTTCACTACTAGTTGACATATTATTATCGAAACAGAATGCAGGAAAGATGGTATCAATCGACTTCATGGTTGCTAGCAACATTCTCCAAAGTATTTTATGTTTCCTTATATGTTCTCTTCTATTTGAGACTAATATTTCGATATGGTTATGGTGATGCGCCAAATCTGTTAACAACTGCAAGGTACTAAAGCTACAACCTAAACACAGTAAATATATTTCTTATCATTACACATTAGAATATTAATGGCGTTTGATTTGGAATTATGGTATTTGCAGTCATTGAAGTTCATTATTGTTCTGGAGTACCTTGGACCGAAACTATTTATGATCAAAAATATGGTATGTGAGAGTTCTGGTGGACATCAGACACCGCATCAAGACATACATTGTCAATCGAACCGATATATATCGGTTTTCAATAGCTATGTATTTCATTTCTGATTCTGCTTTGTGCTTAGTTACGGGATTTATCAGCGTTTGTCTACATTATATTCATCTTCATTGCTGCGTATGGTGTTGTATCACGAGCGATGATCAGTTATCAGAGCGTTACTTTTGATGGGTACGGTATCTTCAGTAATATATTCTATCCACCCTATTGGTTTATCTATGGTAATACGCAAAATGAACTAGACAGACTAGATGGTATTTATCATTTCATCTTAAATATGCTCTTTTAATTGGTTGTCATATTAGGGATGATTAATGGTAACAATACCTCGGTAATCGGCGCTGCTGAAGCTACTGCTACCCACGTTCTCCTCGCCATTCATTCGTTATTCATTCAAATTTTGTTGTTAAATTTACTCATTGCCGTATTCAAGTAAGTTGCCTGACTTTAAATTTCAACTAACCGATTTTCCTCTCGCTGTTTACAGTAGTACAATTGTCAAAGTTGAAGAGAATACAGAATTTTTCTGGCGTTATCAACGATATTCATTTGTGAGAAAATATTTTGGGCGCCCCTTATTCGGCTATCCCCCGATGAATCTACTAACGTACTTAATCTGGGCTGTAAAAGTTCTAATAAAAAAACTGTACAAATTAAAATATGCAAAAACTAAAGTGAATGACGCAAACAGTATCAAAAAAGACCATATATCACGTGTTTTTAGTGGGTATCTGCGCGGTAATTAAATATAAAAATTAAAAATTAATATTTTTTTTTAGAAATGATTGCAAAGGACGAACAAAAATCAAATAAATATTGGGATAATTTTGAAAATGCTGCTACTTACAGTTACGCACGATCTGCGATTGAAAAACAGAAAAAAACAGAAGATGATGCATTCAGAAAGTCAGTAATAAGATCAGTGTCAACTTTAAAAAGAGAAAAATATACTTCGAAATGTTTTATTTAAAAACAGGAAGGATGACGCTGCTGACAGAAGTGAAACAGGTTCAGCTACAAAAGAAGAACTTGTCAATATTAATCTTGAATTACAAAAACTAAACACCGTGCGTATCGGTTGACAACTTTCGCCTCAGTTTTGACAATAGAACCTATCTTTTCTAGACGATTGCACTAACAGACGGAAATGTTCAGACTGTTTCAAATCAGACATCTACAACAAATAGGTAAGTAATTTTTCTAAACCCTTCAGCTATTTAACTATTTGACTATTCAGTTATTCCTTTCAACATATACGTTGGTAATTCGAGTGCTGCCATTGTCATGACCTTGATTTGTAGTGGTTCTCGCCACACATACTGTTTAAACGGAAGGGCTGTTGATCCCTGGGCATGTGAGATGGCAGTGAATATGTGAGAGTGACCTAGTGAATGTACCCGACGATATGTACCGAGTACTTGCATCTTTCTTAGATATCTATGCAGGTATCCTGTTACACGAATGTCATAGGTGCTTGAAGTAATAAACCTTTTTAAACCTTGTTTTTACTTTACCTTTTTTTTAAGTAAATATTACTTGAGAGGTACCCACTTACTTGCGCTGGACGCAGTATAGACCTAACTTGGGTACCTGTTTCAAATACATTCACTAGCGGAGTCACCTCATAACACCTGAACACTGGTAACACAGTTCTGTCTGAATTCCTATGGAAATGTTATGATAGGTGCATTACTATCACGTATTCCAAATCAATAATTAAAAAACAACGTTTTGGAAAAGGATCAAAACTAATTTATGCAGGACCGCTCCTGGAGACCCACCTTAAGGTCCAAGGTAAAAAGATTTTCATCTCTCTCCACAAAGACTTTCAGCCTCTCTTATAGAGCACGTTGAGTTACCTGTATGAAATATTTTCACATAACGAGGGTGTTTTGGTTGAGTTCAAAAAGAATTTTACATTTCGTTCAGATTACGACAGCAATCAAGTTTTTACGGCCAATTCTATTTTGACTGAATCAATCATACCTCTTTACTTAGAAAAAGATTCTGTTTACACAGAAAATCGAATAGATCAACGGCAGGAGAAGATGAAAACCGAATGAGTCTTGTCGGCATACCGTACGAAGAAATATTCTAGGTACTTTCCAAAGCATTTTCAAAGACTTTAACTATGATATTCGTCATCAGCATCCCGGCATACATCTATTTTGATGAAATTTAAGCTAAAAATAAGAAAAAAATTTCGATGATCATAAGCACGACCAAGTATGAGAACTTTTTCAAAATTTTCGAAATTCTGCTTATACAGTTTTGTTCAGAAGTTTTTGCTGATTATGTTTATATGTAAATTTTCAAGAACATCTGTGTAATGAAAAATGATCTTATCAGCCCTTCTCCTTTATAACGACTGGACAGACCCATGAGGTTTTCTCACCGATGAGAAACGGTGTCCACACATTATTAGTCGTTTAATCGATATAGAAAACGCGTTTCAAGCATCGATTGAACGCCTTACTGTTATTTCGTTGTTTACACGCGTGTGGACACCGTTGTGCTCGATTCATTCAAAATAGAATTGGTCGTAAAAACTTGATTGCTGTCGTAATCTGAACGAAATGTAAAATTCTTTTTGAACTCAACCAAAACACCCTCGTTATGTGAAAATATTTTTTACTGGTACCTCAACTTGCTCTACAAGAGAGGCAGATGAAAATCTCTTTCCTTACCCAGATCAACGGTCGCGACTAACTCGCGGCGCGATCGCTTTTATCTCGCGCTTGTCGGGGAGAGATCGCTATAAAGTCGTGTTGTCGCGGCGCGATCTCCGTAAAATCGTATTTTTTTAAAATAATATCTTGTGAGACTCGCGGCGCGATCGCTGTACACTCACGGTCTCGCAATTAAATTGCAAGAACGCAAAAGAGTTCTTTTTCTCTTATTTCAAAGTGAGAATTTATATTTTGGTATATACAAATAGATAGTCCACATTCTGTTTATAACATAAATAGTATACTATGTGTCTATAGACACGTGTGTGTTTTTGTTATTCTCATTTTAAATGAGATATACAAAAGAAGTCAATGTCCGTTATGTACAAGACACTTCATATTTTCTAAAATAGTGTGCCGACTATTACTCGATTTACAAATAAAACTCGAATTTTTTGCAGTTTATATCTGTTTTTTTCACTTTTTCAAAAAATAAGTAGTATACAAAGTAAGTACACAGCAATTTCAACGAACGAAAGAGCATGGAAACAAATCCTTTCCACTTTTGTTGTCACAAAGTTGAAATCG